TCTTTAGCATATCCGAATTGCCAGTTTCCCTACTTTTAGAAAACATTTTTATGTAAAACTAATGAATTGATTATTTCTAACGTTGAATGGGAATAACTAAAACCGCGGATAATGGGGCGGGGGCACCGGATTTACTAAACTTTGAGGAGCACAGTATAAAGTGAAATATGTTTAGAAAGATTGAGTTACGCTAATCTCTCAAAAGCAATGAGCCTACTATTCAAAATTCTCGCTTATATATACATCAGATTAATACGGGACAAGTTCAGATAGAGGAAGTGAGGATATATATATATATATATATATATATATATGTATATATATATATATATATATAAGTAATAGATTATGTTTCATCAGTCTTCTAAGTAATGTGGGTACATCTACCTAAAAAATCAGCATGTGAAATTCTGGACTTTTTCAAGGATTGAACACAGTTCACTTTTAGGACAATATGAACTTCCAAGTCGGTCAAAATGCACGTCTGTATTAAAGGGATTTTGATTATTAAGCGATTGATTATTTTAGCATTTACGAGGAAGCAAAGTTATGTACAGATCTTACTTATTATAAAACGCAGATTGTGTGTGTGTGTGTGTGTGTGTGTGTGTGTGTCTGTAACGTTTATATATTGGATCGAATTTCCTACATTTTTAGCCGATTTCAACAAAACTTCACAGGACTACATAAAATTACCTTGTGGTGGTTCTAACGGCGCCGAAAATGGGAAAAACATAATTGTTTTTTAAGAAAATCAATTTGAAAACACGATCAAGACACATCGTGAGAATGAAAGGGGGACAACTCACCCGCGAAAATGTAAACAAATGAGCATAGCATGATGAAAAAAAAGCCGAACTTGACGAAAGCAAAATTTTATCGTCTAATGTTCATATTATTATTAAAGAGGAAAGATCAAAGTATTTTGGAGGTATTTTTTTACATGTTTTAATCGTTCTTAGCACGTCTGAAATTTTCGTTAAAAATATTGTTTTTTTTTGGTCAAAAAAAAGGACAGATAATAAATGATTTTCAATCATTTTTTTCGATTTGATAAAAAAGATTAAAAATATTCTTTTAAAAATCAATTATCATTTTTTCAAAACTGATTTTAATAAAAACAGAAATTATACTGTTTATTTAAAATATTTTGAACTAAGCTTAACTTAGCTTCTGCGCCGAAAAAATGTAATTTGAAAATAAAACAAAGCAGGTCATAACCTTTCACGTCGCTTGACGATTGACGAAAGGCACATTCATGACGTTTAGATAACTTACGGGAGGATAATTCTTTCTACGGATGGAAGGAAGTGAAATTATTTAAGTGAACAAATTATTTACCTCGTTACTTTTAAGGAAAACTTTCAGCGCTCTAATTTTTTATTTTTTATTTTTTTTTTAGCTTTCATTTTTACGTTTACGATGCTTTAAGGAAAATATAAAGAAATTAAAAAATAAGACTGTTAATAGTGAGATTAAATTTCATAAGAAAAAGGTATCTAATTAATTTAGGTAACTTTCTTATGAAATTTTATCAGAAGTGTACATAAAATACTATAATTTATGTACATTTATTACATTTTACTGTGTTATTTGTATTTCCATTCATTTTATTATTAATTTTGATATTTCATTTATGGAAAAATGTCATAACTGAGATTAATATAAAAATAAGATCATATAAATTAAAGTTTAGCAGTAGTTAAATTTCATAAGATGATACTGTTACTTGTAGGTACCCTTCTCAGTTGAAATTGAAAACTCAAATTAACTTCTCTATACGTGTTTCGCAAAAGTAAAGGGCTTAACAGCGGATAACAATGCTGAACTCAAATAATGCAACTAAATTGTATTCTGGTTGGTCTTCCGTACTTGATAATTACTGTCCGACGATAAACACAAAAATTACATTTCTTAATTACCATGGCTAATCTGATTGGTCCAAATTATACAATTTTCAAAGCGCTAGACAATGACAATCTCACACGGACATTTTGAAAGGTTGATGTTGCTTTTTAACTAATGTTAAAATATTTTTAAAAATTCAATTTAAAAATTTAAAAAAAATCTTTTTAAAATTAAAGAAATAATTGTATTAAAAATTCAATTTTCATTGAAAAAATTTTTTGCTTTCAGAAAATATTGTCCATATTCATAAAAACAAATTAAAACAAATAAAAGCATTTGAAACTAAATAATATATTTGTTTTATTGAGTTTTGTATGTTACAATTCACAGCTGATTTTCAGGTACGTTGGCCAAAAAAAAAACAAAAAACAAAACAAAAAAAAACATGATTTGCATTCTTCAAAGCCTTGTGCTTTTAACTATTGTAATCACTAAAACCGATTGTCTCGAATTTCTAGAATTTTTCATAAAATTAGTTATGGGGGTGTTAATAAATATAAAAAAAAATATTTCTGCCATGACTTTAATAAAAAAAAACATATTTATAATAATTTCGATCATCTGTGAATAGTTTCTGAAAGTTTCATTAACATCTGACAATTATTTTTATTTTTGCAAGATTTTCCAAATTAATGTGTGTAAATACAAAAAAACGCGCTAAAAATTATCTATGTTATTTACTACCCCTTGTTGCGACAAAGAGAAACAAAGTTTTTTTAAATCAAAATTTAGAATATTCTAAAAAGATGGAAAAATTTTAAAAAATAATTAAAAAAAAATTTAGTCTATCTTTATAAAAACATAAGCATTTTGACGATAAAATTTTGTTTTCATAAACTTTGGCGTCTTTTTCATCAGACTATGCTCTATGTTTTAGCGATTCCGTGGAGTGACTTAGGTTAAAAAAAACCCAGGTTGTTTGTGTGTGTGTGTTCCTTTATATATGGGATCGGATTTCTTACATTTTTCAGCCGATAAAACAAACATCCACTTTTTTTTTGGCAGGTAGTATTTCTTATTGTCTTGCATACTTTTTTTTCTTTATTTATACATTCAGAATGCTTTAAAAATTCCATTTACAAGACAATTGTTTATAATAAAATTCTAATTCTATTCAATCAGGGGACTCATCATAACGATTGAAAACAATGTTTTTGTTTGAGTTTGGGTTTGACCAATTCGTAAAAAAAAAAAAAAAACTAAGACATGCGTGTCCGTCAACCTAAACAATAATCTAACGATCTCTACTGATTGTACGAATCGAAAAATCGGATAATTCTTTATCTTTAGGGAAAGATAATTCCACGTACTTTAGGGCCGTTTTTACAATTCCCTTTGCAATTCGTTACAAGGCAGATCAATAAGGCATTGGTTCTATTTGAAATTAATTCAATATTTAAAAGAAAGTATTAAGAAATAATTTAAAAATGCCGACGTAAGAAATCTGATAGACAAAAAACAACAATATTTCGAAGATGATAATTATTAAGGAAAGAACACAGTACTTGTAATAAATTAATAAACCCAAATAAAATTAATATTTTTTGTATTAGAAACAACGAGTGGAAAATATATTCAAATCAGAATTCTAATTAGGAATCATCACAAGCAAAATATGCAATTTTTTTTACTGTATTCAATAAGTAAAAATCATGAATTGTAAAAGATTACAGTGAAAGGCTACCTACATTTTTCAACCGATTTCAACAAAACTTCACTTTTTTTTGGCAGGTAGTGTTTCTTATTGTCTTGCACATTTTTTTCTTTATTTTTACATTCAGAATGGTTTAAAAATTCCATTTACAAGACAATTGTTTATAATAAAATTCTATTCATCAATCGATAGACTCATAACGATTGTAAACAATGTTTTTGTTTGAGTTTGGGTTTGACCAATTCGTAAAAAAAAACAAAACAACAAAAAAAAACTAATTAAGACATGCGTGTACGTCAACCTTAAACAATAATCTTTGTCAATTTTATTTTTCAGTCTTTATGATGGTCGATACTTGATCTATCTCTTACTGTTACATCCCCGGGCAACGCCGGGCTCTACTGCTAGTATTTACTAATCTTAGCTTCGTGTATTTCATGATGTCGGGATTCGAACACTATCTTCTCATCCAAGTAAAAAATAAATAGAAATGGGTGGCTTTCAAAATATATAAACTTTTGTTAAAATAAATCAACAATAACTAATTTTACAACACGATTGAGGAATGGTGAAAAGCTGATCAAAACTTTGCAAACTTTTGACGTGAAAACCAAGCGAAGAGTCCAAATAAACAATTCAATAGTTAAAGCTATCAAAGACATCGAACAGGAAAAAGTCTTTTCTTTTATTTTCTTTTTGCTTGCAATTTTCACTGTTTTGTATCAGCAAAAAAATAATAAAAAAAAGATTGCACCAAAACTGTTTTCTGAAGCGTTGTATGAAAATATGTGACCCCGACATTATCTCTTTCTTTTATGATGTGAAATATTTAGAAGATCGTGTGAAAAGTCGAGTGAGTAAAGGAAACGGAGTGACGTTTAGTTAAAACGCGAACAGCATCGAGAACGTTTCAAACACGCCACTAAAGTTTCTAAAACTCTCAGGCACCAAAGGGAAGGCCAACCGAGGTCTTTGCTCAATACAATATAACACACGGCATAACACGAACTTACTGTAAATGTCGCTGTTTCTAGTGACACTAAGCAAAGAGGAAAAAAGTAAGAAGAAATAATAACGGTCAAGGTTGCTATTCTGATACATCTGAGAACAGAGACGACACTCACTGACGAAACTAATGCTGTGGAACTCTTAGATGATTGAAGATGGGTTTCAGTGGTGGCAAATTTTGGTTGGGTGTGATGATGGTACAATCGATAATGGCTTTTTTTTCTTCTTTCGTTGATCACTGCCCACCCATGTTTGGATTCGGTGAGAGAGAGGAGGTATTATGGTATTCCTATAAATGGTAGTTGTACTGACACAACAGTCGGAGGAGGTAATAGCAAATACCGATTGTCTTTGAGAGTAAATTTATGATGTAGAAGAGAAAACTAAAATAACCGGATATATTTGATGGAAGAAGTAAAAGAGTAGATCGATGCTTTGCTCTTTTTATACTAAATTTATCCAACTTCTTTCTTTTCTTTTTTTTAATAATAAATTGAATATTTTTTCCTTCTTTCTCAACGTCTCTTTTTCGTCATTAAATTTTACTCATATTTTTTGTATTAGCTTTTCGTCCATTTTAAGATTTTTCTTTCTTTCTTTCTTTCTTTCTTTCTTTCTTTCTTTCTTATCATCTTCCTCTTCTTGTTAAATTTTCTTTTGTTCCTTTTTAATGTTTCTTTTATATTTTATGATAATAATAATATCGACGATAGTGTTATTTTATTTTTTAGCCTAAAGAATTCCTTGTTGTCACACAAGCGAAAGCCAGAACCCCAAAAGGCAGAGGAAGATGAGCGTCTGAGACAATCTATTTCAATCGTGGAACTGTCATGGTGCCTGACTTCATCTTCGCGCTTTGCGGATGACAAAAACTTAATGTTGAAGACTTCCTTTTAGCCCAACATTCCTCTTCACATGTCTTTTGCCACAACCCATTTTTTTCATCCAGTCCACCACCTTCATCTCTTAGCCCCGTAGTCATTGTCGTCATTACTACTACTACTACTACTGTTACTACTACTACTACTACTTACCACGACTACCATGGGCACCTTTTCATCCCCCTTCGTTTTATCTCTTTGATCTCTTTGACAGTGTCTTCCTAAATTATTTATTGGTCTCTAATTTTTTTCGCTAAAAAGAAAGAATGAATGAAATGATAGAGTAAGAAGCATAGGAATATATATATATATATATATATATATATATATATATATATATATATATATATACAAATAAATTAAAAAACATGTGTGTGTGTGCGTGTGTGTATGCGTGCCTTTGTGCGTCCGTAACACACACACACACACACAAAGAGAGAGAGAGAGAGGGGGGAAGGTACAGGTAAAGCAAAAGCAGAAAAAAGAACAACGGAAATAAAAAAAACAAGATCAAAATGAATGCGAAAAGAAAAATACATTTTTACCAAAATCTTTTCCCTTTTTTGCAGCTCCATCGTTCAAATCTTGTTGTACATTCCTTTTTTAATAGCCATTCTATTTTTTTAAATTTTTCCATTGACTGTTATCTAATTCAAATTTCATTCATTCATTCATTCATTCATTCATTCATTCATTCTTTCTTTCTCATTAATCTAGAAATTCTTTTCTTTTTAGGTATGATTCGCTAAACAGATTTTCATTTATTACTCTCTCCTATTTTTCATTTGTTCCATCTCACTTTTCTATTTGTTCCCCTCTTGAAGAGTAAAAACGAAGAAACAAACAGAGGTTTGTTTTCACTCTTCTATTAAACTCACTATCTTTCATTTGCTCGTCTCTTTTCTTCAATTCTTTCATGGCTAACCATTTTAATCTATAATTCCGACATTATTCTTCTTGCTTCTCATATCATATCCATCTCTCTCATTTCCTCTGTTATTTTGATTTTTTTCTCTTTGTTTTAGTTGCTATCGCTTTCTTTCTCTTTTCGCGTGTTCCTCACCAAGCATCCCTTTTTAGGGTTGATTAATAGTGCGTTATATTCTGCTGAACAAAAGATGTTCAACCCTTTCATTTCGTTTTTTGTAATCTTTATTATTATTATTATTTTTTTACTTTACCGACGCTACTCGAAAAGCTGAATGTATTACATATCGGAAGTTGAAAATTTCCTTCTCTATACGCTAATAGCTTTATAATATGTGCTTTCAAGCTAGCATAGAAATATAAAACACTTGGGAGTAGATGGTCATCATAAGGGCTTACTGGAAATAGTCGCAAACGACTGTAAGGCTAAAGAGAACTAGATAGAAAGATAGAGAGAAAACTAACTCTTTTTGAGTTATTACCATAGAAAAAACTATTTTTAAGATTCTTATCTAAAACTGTGACGTCATCAAATACTTTTTAATTAAGATTGCACGTGAAATACCTCTCTCTCTACGACATTTTGATTGTAAAAAACTCTCGAAAAAAAGGTATTTTGGGAAATATTTTCGATTTTTTTAAGTAATATCTTCAGTGTTTTGGTAAAAGTGAGTTCTCTAATATAAGAGTCAAATTATTATTTCGCCGACAGATTTTTTTGTTCTTTCATCATTGCCTGTTTAAAGAAATTTACAGGTAACATGTGGTCATTTATTTGATTCTAGAAGATAATTTGCCTACCGTCAGCTTCATTCAATATTTAAAGCTAAGATACGTATTTAAAAGTTATTGAGAAAAATTACCGTATTGTGTCCAATTGCTGTATTGTGTTTTGTTTGCAAACTAACAGTTTAAGTATCATTACTCTTGTAAATAATTCCTTTGGATTCTATTGCTTAATATATTTTAATAAATCCATATTTCTTTCGAGAGATTAACAGTAAAAAAATTACTTTCAATATCATCTGCTCGACAATTCATTCAAAACATTCCTTATTGAAAAACAGTGTTCCTTTCTATTGACTTTTTTTTGTTGTTGTTAAATCAATATTTATTAAATCTTTATCTCCTTTTACAAACTTGAGTATTCTGCATTCTATTTACCTGAGAACAGACGTCGATCATTAGACCATTGAAACTAATCCATATATTGATCAAACAATACTACTCTGTCAAGTGATCAAGAGCAGACATTATACCTTTATGACCTTGACCCTTTCTTCATTGCGTCACCCACTCGCTTCAATTTAAATTCATTTAGATTTATAATAAACCTAATGTCTTTTTAGTTGTTTCAGTGTTACCAACCTAGTCTGAATTCACTTTGTGGACATTTTTATACTTTTATATTTCGTAGCACCGCTGAATTTATTTTTCTTGAGATTTCTGGTACTTTGCAGGACCAGTTAATGTTTACACTCCCTTATCATATAACTGCCTCCTCCACTTTTAACATTTAGTCACAGTAAGATTATCTAAATCTGCTTCCATTACTTGATTTTTTGTTTGCTCATGTTCCTTTAAACGAATCACTACTATTGTATACAATGTAAATAAATTTTATACTAATTTTCGATATCACCATTTTATTATATTATTATGAATGTATAATCTTATATAATTATTAAAATGCAATTTTTGTGATAAGTCTTGGTATACATAAATTTCTTTATCTTTTAAAATAAGTGTTATTTAGCAAGTTTAATTTAGGAGGAATGTCTCACTAAGAATGAGTGAGAACATTTAATAGTTGGTACGAATAATTCTACTCTATTTATATTTAAGCGTAACATTTTTCTTTTTAATGATGTAATTTTCGAAATTGTACGAAAAGTAATAGTAATGTTTTTTTGCTTTGTTTATCTCTGAATATTCGTTCAGTATCATTGATTTCTTTCTCTCTTATTTATCATTGAAGCATTTACCTATAAATTTATTAATTTATCCTTTTCTTATTTATTGATTGTAACGTAACATTTTTATAGATGATTATATACCCAATCATAGGAAAGAAAAAAACAAACAAACATACAAATCACAATTTACAAACAAAATTTCATACCGGATTGGTCGTCACCCGGGTAAATAAGGGCGTGTCCCTCAGAGAGTAATCAGTTTCGGGTCGAAAGATCTGTCACTGGAATAAACATTTCCACCAACATTGAGACCAAAATCGAGTTAACTCAAACATTAGACCTGGTGACTTAATGTCAAATAAATTAATAAAAAGAAAGCGAAGGAAATGGAATCGTGAAGCGTATAAACAAGTCATGGTATCTTTTTTTCACTGCACTCGAAAATACACAAAAGAACATTACGGATCAAACATACTAAATATGATGTGATATGGTAGTAACTAAAATAAGACCCTATCTTGACTCAAATATGCTTTGCCAATGTCCACAGGAACATTATGTGAAATAAAAGACTTTCAAATTCAGAAATAGATAGGATACAACTAAATATAAGACAAGGTACAATCAGACATAATCCAAACAAAAATGAGGCAAGAGTGGAAGTAAATAATATGATAGAGGATGAGATACAAACTAAAATAAATGAGTTATGAAATAATAATCTCTCAGGAAACAAAACGGAAGAATCTAGCTGCGACATAAACAATTGCACTGATTCAGATTCTGTCACTGATGAAGAAGATGAATCAAACGACATTAGAGCAGAATTTCTTAAAAACATCACATTGAAATCACTGATGTGAAAAACCACATCATTCAAATAATAAGCATTGTAACTCGCACAAAATGTTAGAAAGAGACCAGCTTCCAAAAATTCATATGATAAAGTCAAATCAACATAATTTGCGAACATATAACGCAGCATTGTAAACATTGTTAACGGGCAGACCACTGGAAAATATCACGGAAATAAATAATGTCATATGTGCAACAGCTTTAGCAGCTACTGAAAAACTTAATGCCAAGACAAATAAAATATTACACAACGGAAGGCAAAATTAAAGCGAGGAATTGAGGAAATCAGATACTAGGTGAGATTTCAAGAAATTCAAATGTCTCAACACAGAAAAGCAAGAAGATCACGCGGAAATATAAAATTAAAGCAATAAATGAAACCCCACCAATCAAGGAAATACTTAAACAGAAATTGCAATTAAAGGCACAGAGAACAAGACGATATGTAAAGCGTAGTAGGTTCTCTCGGCAGAATAAGATATGCTAAACAGACCTAGTTTTGGGGGAAATTGGAAAAGTAATTATAGATGCCAAAAAGCCACCATCGATTGAAGAAAGGCAAAAAATGACCAGGTACCCAACTTTTGGCTCTATCATCTGTCATCAATCTATAAAACTCTTGCGCAAACTTTATCAATGCTAACTAATAATTCCAATGAAATTCCAGAATGGATCACGGAAGGTATTATATATATCTTGCCAAAAACGTGCGAAACAGATGACCCCAAAAAATTATAGGCCAGTAACATATCTGACCACATCCTGTTCTGACGAACCGTATTTACTCTTTTCTTGATGAAAACATTGGTGGAAATTTCAGCACAGTTTGTATAGATTACCGTAAAGCGTTTGGATCCTTAAGGCTTTGGAAATGTAGAAAATCTCCCTCGTGATTGTAAATTTCCTTAAATATAGCATGGAACTGTGGAAAACCAGATTTATACGTAACTCATTCCAAAGCTACTATCACTTTTAATTGATTGAATATCTGACGAGGAATCTTTCAAGGAGACTTCTCCATGTCGCCCCTTTCTGTTATGTCTCTCTTTAATCCACCTTTTGTATGAACTAAACTGTAATAAATATAGATACAAAAAAAAAAAAAAATGTTTAATCATCTATTCTACATGGATGATATCAAACTTTTTGCTAACGAAGACAATGAAATGAATGGTATCCACAATACTGTAAAACGTTTCAGTGATGACATGAATGAATGGTATGAATTTCGGATTAGATAAATGTACAAAAGTAACAATCAAGAAAGGAAGAATTGCAGAAACACACTTAATACATTTAGATTTTTTCACAAAGATTAGGAAACTGGAACAAGAAGAAGCCTATACCCAGGAGTCGGTGAAGGAGATGGAATACAGCATACCCAAATTATGAAGAAAGTAAAAAAAGAATACTATAGTCATGTGCGTCTCGTATAAAATACCTAGTATAATTCAACTATAAACATTTTGGCTGTCCCTGTAGTGCAATACAATTACAACATCCTTAATTGGACCATAGCTGATATTAAGGGAATGAATGTCAAAACGAAAAAGCGTCTCACTTGCCACCGCATGCATCATCCTAAGACTGATGTTGATCGACTGTATACGTCCCGATTCGAAGCGGACAGAAGATTAGCTCAACTAGAATTGCCTTACAAAACCACAACAATCGGTCTTCAAAGATAATTGGAAACTAAGCAGATTGGATGATGGTCTGCGTCAAAAACCATGAAAGAAATAAGAAATTTTATTCAGTAATGAAGGAATTAAAACAAATTCAAAAGAGAATTTCAAGCGCGAAGTGCAAGTAAACCATAATACAGCCATTGTACGAAATGCAGAAACAATAGCAAGATAAGACTCTTCAAGCTCAATACTCTGCCAGTATTAAACAAGCCGATGTAGAAAAACCCTGTACCCATCAGTGGTTACGTAATGCATGGTTAAAAGCTGAAAACGAAGGTTTTATTCTTTTTGCACAAGACGAATGCTTGCGAACTAGAGATTACCAAACACACATACTGAAAAAAATATATAGTGGTAGGACACACTGAATATAAAACTCGGCATGATTCAATATCTGAACTGGAAAATATGCAACTTTTACGGGAAGGAAACTGCAAGAAACTTGTGTTCTTGCGTTCGATTTAGACCATTTTAGTAAAAAATAAGGGCGCAACAATACATAGTAATGACTGACATGCTCGTCCCATAGACTATTGATACTAATTTGGGGTTAATTTTCACTGGTTGATGACCCACACATGTCGACTTGTAACAGCTAAGTGTAGTAGATAACCGCAACAATTCTATATTTAAAAAATCTTAAGTTGATAAATACAAATATCTCTTCTGAATATCAGGCCAAAGGCTGAAGAAAATATCAGTCAAAAAGCGTTGCGATAAATAAAGTGCGCGCATCTCCATAAGCACAGAGCAATAAAATAAAGATTTTAAAAATAAAGATTATAAATCTATATATGGCATATCTGACAGCCGTAGAACTGAACGTATTTATTAATTTATTTCATTCTAAAACGCATCTACACTTTGGCTTGAATAAAGCCTAGCTGTTTTGTTTTTTATTAATAGTAGTCGTTTTATGATCACACTCGTAAATATGTTTTATGATTTTTTTCACAGACCAAACAATTACCTGATTACATTTTCATATTTGAGTCATCTTCGCTATCATTCAATTCGTTTATGATACAAATAATTTCAAAAACATGTTAGGCTCATTTTTTTTAACACGGAATATTTTTTCTTTCTTTTATCGTCTGCTAAAAGAAAAATTATAACTCCCCAGCACCTCCGCAATGGGAAACGAATAGAAACATGAAAAAGAAAGTGGAAATTATATCAACAGTAACAACATGTTTTCCTTCTAACTATCTCTCTCTTCTTTGTTTTAGTTATTATATGTTTAATTTTTTATTTTATTTTTACAAATTTGTTTTTGATCTAGCGGCTTGGGAACAGAGACATCTCCCCTTTTATTTCCCCTCATGAAACAAAGTGGAAAAATAGCATCTATTAAAATTAATTGGCTGATTTGTCAAAACGCAATAAATGCATTGGTATAAAATATTTTATAATACGAATTCTTTAGTGTTGTTAGAAGACGGGCGCAGTTCCTTCAATTTGGGAGGAAGACGTTTCCGTTTTCCTTCGAAATCTCATACCCCGACCTGTCCCATCCATCACTACTCTCAAGTGATTGAATGAATAAATAAGCGGCTCCTATTTTTTTTGTCAAACGAGCCAGCTATTTTTTTTCACAAAATGGCTAACAAAATCTTTTCGAATGAAACAAAATAGAAAATAATTGTGTTGACCTGTTATCCTTAATGTAGTCGAACAAATGATAAATCCGGCAAATTACCAGCTTTTTATTACCCCCATCAACCTTCTTCCCTGTTTTCAAAACCCTTCCGATATTTTTTTTCATTTTACCGCCCTTACATTTCCCAATCCACTACATCTTTCCTCAGTTTTATGAAGAAACCTCTTTGTGAAATGAAAAATAAAAAAAACAATTAAAAAAATTACTGTTTCGTCTTTTCTCCACAAACTCACTCAGACCTGGAGTTCTTCTCTAACCACACCCGTTATAACAGTTCAGTCATTCAAATAGCTTTCATAGTTTGTACACTATACATTGCTCATATTTTTCTTTTCGTTATAAAAAAAATAACATTTTTGGGATCTTTTTCAGTTTTCAAGTTTAACAAGAAGGCGGAGTGATACAACAGTGAGTGAGCAGGTTGTCAGACAGATACACACATCGTATTTTGCGGGATTAACAAAACGCACAAAAACAAAACAAAACAAAAAAATGATGAACTTATTAATCTGCATTTAATACAGGAAGTCTCCCACTGTTGTTTTCTTCAAATATTCATTGCTAAAAATTGCCTGCTACCGGGGGGTTACTGAATGTTTACATCATCATCATCATCATCATCATAATAAAGATTTTGCATGTTTCATCTGTACGTGGAGTTCCGGGTTGTTTCTTTAATGATTCATTTAAATGTAAAATTTGAACTTGTGTAAATTTCGTGTTCATAATTAGGTATAAATGTCCTGAACATTTTTTCGCAATTTGTCCATACTGGTAGATTGGCGCTCTTTCAAAATTGACAACGCGGTAGAATAAGTGTCAGGAAAATTGATAATTGGAAATCTTGTTTTTCTCAATATTTTCTTAGCTTATTTCGGCCAAAGGCTAAATATAGGGGAGAAAAAGAAAGATAAATATGTTTTTCTAATTTTCTAAGTTTTGGGATAGCTGGCCTATAAAATCAAAATTTTAAATTATACATTTTTACTTATGGAATTCGTGAGAATGAGCTTGCATTTTTTTTGAGAAATACTTCAGTTCTTGCAAATAGATTTATGGGAATGGGAAAAGAATACTTAATTAAACTATTAGGCTTGTAATTGCCTACAGAATAATGTCTTATCAAAATAATTGCGCTGTACTAATTATCAACGCCCCCACTATCTGGGAAGATACGACACTTGTTAGCAAGTGGAATTATATATAACAGTATAACAGTTTTATATATATATATATATATATATATATATATATATATATATATATATATATATATATATATATGTGTGTGTATGTATGTATGTATGTGTGTGTGTGTGTGTGTATATTTCTGAGATGAGGTATTGTAATTATTTACACTATTTACATTGTTTTGACTGTTGTCATCGTTGCATATTATTGTAAATGTGTGTGTGTGTGTGTGTGTGTATATATACGAAAAGGTATTGAAACGCTCTCAGCCAAACACACTTCCCAAAATCTGGCCAAATGACCAAACCTCATAATTTAAAAAAATCTTCTGCGTCGGACCAAGAACTTTTCGACATCCACATCTATCTATCTATCTATCTATCTATCTATCTATCTATCTATCTATCTATCTATCTATCTATCTATCTATCTATTTCTGTGTATGCGTTCGGGCACTTAAGGTGCAAAAATGGTTCCTCAAATTAAGAAAAGAAACTGATATGAAACGAGAATCTTTATTTACTATTGTGTTGATTTCGGGGGATGTATGAGCAAATTGCATGGAGACACACAGGAAATGCTGGGCAATTTGTGATCAATCTGTTCCAATTCTAGCATACCAGCGCACATTGTTAAAAATTTTCTATATGAGGGAAGAAGAGTGTTATGTATCGTGGATAGAATGTTTGTAGATATGAACATTGTAGACGAACAAATCAACACGATCATCAGACGATCTGTTGGTTATACTGACAGCCAATTTGCAGTGTTGATTTTTATAAACAAATGACAAACATTATTTGTTCGTTAGTTAATTAGTTAGTTAGTTAAATAGATAGATAGATAGATAGACGAGTTTGATGGTATATGTCGATAAGAAAAATCCAATCATATACGAGCCCAGATGACCAACTTGGAATCCATTATTCCTACATTTTACCTCCTCCATTTGATCTTAGTAAACTTCACTCAGCTTAAACAAATCTATCTATCTATCTATCTATCTATCTATCTATCTATCTATCTATCTAACGAAGAAACAATTCGTAAAATGTTTGGCTTTTTTTAAAAAGCTGAGTTAAATTTACTAAGCTCAAATGGAGGAAGTAAGATGTAGGAAGAATGGATTCCAAGTTGATTGTTACTCATTATTATTTTGAGAAACCATGATATACAATTTACAAAACAGTTTTTTTAACAGGTTGAAATGAAGGAATAAATAAAAACGGCCATCAAGCTAAGAAAAACGTCGATGTGGCGATGAAAATAAAACAACAGCAACAACAACAGACATTAGATTTTACTTTGGTTTAATGTTTATGGCTTCACAGAAAGTATAATGAAATATACGCAGGATATTTCGCCAGTTTTTATCAAGTTTTTTATAAAATGAATCATATTCCGTTTTCATTAGATAAATGGAGAACATCGTATTCTTTTAAGTGTTTACACCTATATCTCATGTGTGGCCACACTGAGGTATTTTAGTTTTCCTGTCTGTATCGATAAGCTTAACAAACAGATTTTTACTTCAAATACTGCTGTGTCATATGCACCTCCCATGAAAGTATAATCACTAACTGAGACCTGATTTCTGGCACATTAGTAATAGGCCACTTTTTGTGCCTAAGTGGGAAGTACTATCGGGCTAAACAGTTTTCGTCATTATAATGTCTCTTTAGCAGGTAATGTTTTAAATTATTTTAAATATATAATTAACCATAAATTGTTATTAATAACAATAATAAGATACCTACAAATATATCATGGAAATTAATGAAAAATCGAATGTCTACAGAAAAGATTTAACTCAACCCTAGTTGTAAAATCAAATCAAGAAATCATAACACAATTTTCTTCCTGTGATATTGAAATTTGTAATGCTCAAGTAGCATAAATATGACATGTTCAAGGGTGACGTACATTGGTAAATTTTCCGAAGTGATCTGAGTTACGTATATGATTCCTGAGCCCATTCTTCCTCCAACTCAATTTTATCAACAGAAGGATTCCCTACAACTTTTTTCTTTCCTGTACACCATTGCCAGTTGACAACACATTTCCGCTACCCCTCATCAGTGACACTTTATTCAGCCTTGTCTCGGTCTTTCGGAAGCCATCTTTGTCAAACCATCTCTTTAATCGCCTTAAGTGAAGCTTGTCCTCCTTTTATCGCGGTCCTTTAGCCGCCTCTTCGCGTCGATTGTTGTTTTACCAAACCCGAGTCGACAATAGGAATTGCCAGGGCTGGTTGCTTGTTAAAAGTGTCATCTAGTTTCATGTCAATTAAATGATCATTTATACACCCCCCTCCTTCTTCCACTTAGTTGATTTCCTCAAGAAGGGGCTGCGTACTTCCGTAAGTGATTGCACACGTCATTCGTATCAGTCTCTATGTTCACTTTTTTTCACGTAATTTTCTTTCTTCTCGCTTGTTAAGCTGAGTTTGCACATATGTAGACTGAGAATTTCTATCAGCTTATCACCATCCAACTATCCCCTTTAGTCCTGTATTCTTAAATGTGAAAAATGCTTGACGTCATTATGCTTTACTTTCAGATGATTTCTTTATGTCGTGTAAATGTAAATCTGTGTTTTTAAATTTATGTAAAAGAGGCGAATATTGTACACATTTATTCTGTTTGGAAATGATTTCGCCATATAATGTTAACGAAACAAATAGCCTATCTCGGCAAATGGGACCTTAGTCTTCTTCAATGCACTATTCTTGGTACTTCACGCGCTTACCCAGCGTCCCTTCCACTTTTTAAAACAGGCTGCATAGTCCTTTTTTCGGGATTGTCATCAGATGTTTCTTCTTAATCTCATTTACACTCTAAAATATTCTCTCAACCGACACACATCAAAAACATTATATTACATCACAAACTTTTACTGAATTCATTTTTAAAGAATCTAGCGTATGTTTATCTAAAACATGTACGTGTACATGTATGTACGTAAAAACGTTCCCAAATCAACATCCCACATACACATACTAGAATTATGATGCACTTACATACATAAAGCAATCTTTACGTTTTTTCAGATAGGCTTGGAGTTCGATTATTCGTATATTTGTATGTGTGTGTGTGATTGCTTGTATATGCTTTTTACCTGTATATACATATGTCTGGCAAAATTTCCTTTTCCGTGTTTTTATATGTCTGTTTGTCTCTATTTTTAATATGTTTTTTTATTTTTCTATTTCTTATTTTTTATATTTGTCCTTCCTCTGTTTCTTGTGTGAATATACTTCCCTGTATTATTTGCGTGCTTATGTTTACCTGCCTTTACTTATACGCATTTGTGTATTATTATGTGAATGTGTTTGTCCTGTCATTTGAAAATTCACTTCCCTCCCTACCTTCTTATTTGAATTATGTCTTCCTTGTAGCAAATATGTGTGTAGCGATCGGTGATACCTTTTTTTTTTTACCAGCGTCTAACTTCACTGATAAATTGGCACTTTGTGAACAATAATATATATATATATATATATATATATATATATATATATATATATATATCCTATATATCATTTTTCAGAATAATCTTAAAATAATATTAAACTTGATTAACTTTAGAATTTGAAATTTTTAATTTTAAATTCAACTGTTAACTTAAATTTAATTTTTATATTGATTTCAAGTAATATATGTCTATCAAGTATTTCAAGTCATGTTTAAACAACTGAAAAATAAAACATTTATATTTGATATTTTAATAATAATTTTTAAATAATAGAGTAATTCTAATACATTTATTTCTTTTACAAGAAGTATAGTCTATTAGTAATTAGAATTAGAAATAATATTTTAAAATTGTATTTTAATACGACGTACTCATATTCAAACAACCCTTTTGGAAAAAATCTTTATGTATACAATCACAAATTTAACGGCAAAGAAAAAGGACCGAAAAACTTTTGTCATTGAAAAAATCCAGACGACATGCGAAAAACGGATGTCATCATTTGTTGAACAGGCATCCCTATCCTATCTTAACTTAACCTCATTTCGAAAGTAACTCATATTTTGATACAATAGTTGTCAGTGAAAATGAATACCCTACCACCCCTTGTCAAAATGATTGAATTTCCCCGTATCCTTTGAAATTAATATTAAGAATGTATGTGCTTATAAAACTCTGTAAATTTCAAAATAAGTTATTCCAAAATTCGCTTGAAAATGAAACAGTACTAGGGATTTTAATTTAATTCTATAATTAAATTTCTGTTCTTAGTTTCTGTTTTTGAAACATGGTAATTCATGTGTAGCAATGAAATCATATTTTTAAATTAGTAAATTTAACGAAATAGGTAGAAATGCTAAACCCATTAATAATAATAAAGCTCATCATATATTATAAAAATTAAGCTCATCATATATTATAAAAAATTAAAACAATTGATCTAATAGTCTCCAATAACTTTACAGCTACACAACTAAATCCTCTACAATCAATGTAGTGAATCATTTTACATGTTTACATTGGTTTTACTACAACCACGCTCTCCTGTAAACTTACCTGTTACCTTTCTGGCCTTTGTTGCATTAAACAACATTTCTTAGAAAAACATAGCTATGTACATAATATTAAACAGATATTAGTTGATAACACAACTATACTCACCCATACACACAGTAAGAAGAAACTTCAGATATTGGAGGCCATCTACATTAAAACAAAGCAACCACACTCAACAAAATTACCTTTCAAACTAGTCACAACATATTACAATGCATTTAAACATGTGGTTCTGTTGATAACATTTCTTTCTCTCACGTCATAGAACCGCATTAGAAATTTACGACCTGCGTCTGCTATTCCGTTACCGTTACCGTTGCATAGCAAACTTCTATCAATAATAATAAAGAAATATCCAAAGTTTTGAAAATTTTTGTCTTTATTTTCTCTTGAAACTAAAGGCATTATACGACGCTTGGAAAAGCTCATGGTAAAACATAATAGACACTTGTCTGTTATATTTAACAATAAGTTTGAATAATGATCTGATGCCCTATATATATATATATATATATATATATGCATTCATATATATATATATATATGCATTCATATATATATATATATATATATATATATATATATATATATATATATATATATATATATATATATATATATAGTATATAATTGGTGTATACGGAATGAATTCCAATAACCAACAATTACTATTCTTAAAAGAGTGCTCAATACAGAGTAGAGCAGATATAATTATTTATTTTAAAAAATTATAACAAAAATATGTTATAAAATCACTACAAAAATAGTCATTTTGTTTCAACACCTCCGGTGTCTTATCAAGTGATGATGTTGAGTGTAAACATGTTTACTAAATCGATTGTCACGTAAGGAATGAGTTCCTCCCTTCTGATCTTATTTAACATTTAACAATGAAAAAAACGAACGTAGATTATGTTTCTTTACTTGTATTCCTTTAAAATATAAATTTACTGTTTTGTCACTGGTATGCCAGGATTAGGATTGATTGAGGAGAGGATGGATATTTTTCATACTTCGAAAAGACAATCAAACATTAGCAGCAAAAAGCAGCCGTTATCAACACTGACAAATATATATATATATATATATATATATATATATATATATATATATATATATATATATATATACAAGGTGATGCGGAAGACAAAGTTGCTGATATACGGTTTATTAGTGTATAAATATCTTCTCTGACAAAGTTTTAAGAACTTTCGGATAAAAGGGAAGAGGTAACTTCGAGAAATGATCTGCAATTGGCCATGCAAACGCGTCTGATGTATTGTGCGCTCCTCGGGGTGATATTGATTCCCTTAAGAATGGATCGACATTTTCGTGAGTGCTGAACGAGCGAAAGTCAAGTTTTTGTCGTTGCAAACTCTACAGTATGACAAAAATGATTATTTTTAGTGTCAAGAGCCACGCATTGGGATGAGATCTGAAGGTAACAGGGGACCTTCAGCTTTAGGAAAATTTGCGCTTGAATAATAAAACGTGAGGGAATCATGTAACAATGACAAGAACAATATGCCACATCAAATT